AGCAAATCTTAGTGAGTTGAAAGTAACATAATTTTAGTTTTGTTATATTTGAGGTAATTAATGTGATTTGAATCCTCTTAAATAATATACAACTAACGTTTAAAGGATCAAATTTTCCTACACATCACATAATGAAATTGTTCAATAATATGCTTGAGACTATGACGCAGCGCAGAAGTAAAACCTCGGAATCCACCAATGGATGTTCTCTGAATCCACAAAGAACTTCGAATCCACGAAAAAATAATAAAAGAGAAATTTTATTGATGAAAAGTTATTATCTTTTGGGGTTACATGACTCTTCTTAAATAAAAAAATAAATAAGATTCCTAATAAGACTAGAATTACAAAAAAGTAGAAAGTATCAAATCCTACCCTAAAAAGACTCCCTATAATAGAGGAAATAAATCATGGATCAAAATTAAACTTGTTTCCTAATCTAATTTAACTCTAACATTAAATTTATTTCCTAATCTAAATAGACTCAAACTTTATGACTAAAAATAAACTAAAAGCTGATTATTTTCGGATTTCAGCCAAAACTGAGTATTGTTGATGAGATTTTAAAAATATGACAATCTGTTTGGCTCCGTTTCGTCGAGATAGACAATTTATATATATAATATGTCAGAATCCTCCTTCCAGGCCGGAAGATATGATTGTTTTTTATTCAATAATATCATAAATCTGTATTTAGCTCGTGATTGTCCGAATTCTCCATGAAATTGTCCGTTATGCGTCCTACATCAGACTAACTCATATTGCTTTTGAGTCTACTAAGCTTGTTTATTCATAAATCTAAGATAGTGTCTTTGATTCTTATAAGAAGTTTTCTTTTCTTCCAAAAATAACTCACGTTGTTCATAAGTAAGCCCAATTATTTTATCCACGATCGAAAGTGGCATTGCTCTAAAGTGAGGGGATGAGATTGCCATAGTATACAATCACATCTTCAGAGTTATGATACAGTGAAAGAGACTTTTAGACGACGTCATAACAATCCAAGTTTAAATCTAATCAGACGTACATATGACTCAAATTAAAAAAAAAGTTAACATTTGTCCAAAATAACTCTGGTTTCGATCCATCAGAATGACCCTCAACTTGTATAAATATGTTAAGAGCGTGAAATCACCCTTAACCCTCATTGAGGTTTGAAAACTTTCATGCAAGGGAAGAAATTTTAAAGGGATACAACAAAGACATCGACTTTTTCAAATGATTGGCAATGAGTCAGATTGTTACCATTAACTATGAGACATCATAATAAATTCTTCCTTATAATTGATTGGTGGCGTGTAACTGAGGAAGATACCAAATTAATTTCAGCACCATTAGACATGTCCTTTTAAGAGCTATATGCTTTTTAATGACCTAAAAGGTAAGAGTGAAAGAGATGCACACACGAAAAAGATGGAGTTGGGGGAATCACCTAATACTTTCAACAAGTTTATTGCATGTCTAACCATAATTGTACTCTTATGATCCATCACTTATGCAAAGTACATCATGTGCTCAGCGTACCCTAAAATTCCAAAAGAATTCAATGCATGCTCTGCTTGAGCGGTTGGATTCCTACTTAATTCAGTTAAAAGCAAGACATCAGATTTCCTACCCAACATTTTCTAACACATATTGAAAAGAACTTCAGAATCCTCCTATTATAGGTAAACAAGGAAGAAATTAATCATATTTTTAATCATAACCATTTAGCATTTAATGAACAATTATGATTTATATCTTTAGTAAAATGTAAAAATTAATTAATGCCATTCTATGAAGAATGAATCACAATTGTCTACATATTATCAAATGACCATGCTTGAAGAAGTAATACTGATACTTCTATCCAGATCCAAAAAGAAAAAGGAAATCATCTAGATATAATATTGAATAGATTTGGTCATAATTCACAAACTTGGAATGGAGATCCACCAAAGTTCAAAATCTTTCCATAATAGAACCCATTTTAAAAAAAAGTAAAAAATCATTAATGGCACAAAAGATAGGGAGGAGTTATGGCCAACATGCTAAACATTCCCTTATGCATGCATCAACATGCAAGTCACATGCAAAGGGAAATGGTCCCCTCAAACCAAATCTCAGAACACTAACTAAGGCCCCATCACTCTCTCACATGCTCCCCACTTTCAAACCCTCTTAATCTTCTTTTTGACATACTAGTATGTCATACGTGCATTATGATACAGTTATAAATTAACATATGTTATTAAATTAGTTTTTAATAGTAAATTTATAATTTAAAAATTAAGTTTTAGGGGGTTACCTGAAAATAGAAAAAACTTTAGGGATCCACTCTAGTATAGCATCAACATAAGTTTCCTATGAAAAAAATGACTACCAAAAAGTATCCTTGTGGTCCAGACTCCGCACTTTTTATGTAGTGGTTTGTTTTATATTATAAATTTAAGGATATTTTAATGTTATCTACTTTCTTATATTGTTAAATTAAGTACACATCATTTTTATTTAACCCTCAATATCTTGTAATTAAACTTTCCTATTGACTCTTTATCTATTCAAATAATTTGATTGTCCATCCTCCTATATTTTTTTTTCTAGAAGTTACTCTTTAGTGCTCATTCTATCCTTTCATGGGAGTCCAAATCAAAATAGTTAGCTACTATATTAGCACACTATACAGAGTTTGTATAGTATTAGGCATATTTCTATGCTATAACTACAAGTAAGTTCTTCATTCTTCTAAATAAAGAACATGAAGAAATTATTGGTCAAATATTTCTCATATTTAACTTAGTCAATACTAAAATTGTGTCTTTCTACATTCATAAAGAGGCCTTTGCATAATATAATCTTGGTTAGTTGCTCTAAAACATTATCTTTCATCATAATATTGTATATGCATAACTATATTTTCGAGCTGGATAGTGGTTATGTAAAATAAAATTAAGAATAAGCGCTTAACCCAAAATACGATTTCATGGGAACCCAAAAGTTGTCACAAGATAACTAACATGATAATTAGTGTTTGACCACAAGAATAATTTCAAGGAAACCTCATTAGAACCACACAAACTTTAATACTTATAGTTACTATGAATTATTAAAATTGAGAGGGTATAAAAGGAAATCAAAAGTTTTAACATGACAATTCTCTTTTATAGTAGTATAGATTAGCCCACAAAAGATGGAAAATTAAAAATCAATAGCATAAAAAGATTGACATTTTTTATATAAGAAGCCCCAAAAATACAAAAGAAGTGAGGCAGATTTAAATGATGTATAGAGGTTAGGGGTGCATTCGGTCTAGACACGGCTCGAATATGATCCTTATCATATTTATACCCGTTTATCCATTACAGATTCATATCTATATCAGCTAAAATCAGATATGGATATGGATATACACGAGATGTGTAAGCGGTATGCATGCAGATGCAAAATGGATATGGAAAAACTAAATAATATTGAAAAATAAAGTTCATATGATAAAAAAAGAGTTCATTAATATGTTCGGTATATCCAAAAAACTAAGATTGGACATCTTGATCATCAATATTAATCTCAAATTCATAATCTAAGGATCAAAACTATTGTGACAGTATGACCAATATGTATTCAGATATGGATCCAGATATTTCATTACAAAACTATATCCGTAACTATATCCTATTGGTTATAGACTTGAGTAACTATATCTGTATCCTAACAGATATAGTACGGATATTTTCTCGGATACGAATATCTCTAATAGGGGTGTAATTGTACCCCTCAAAATTTATAAATTGTATATAAATTCTAATAATATTTACAATTTACCTCCATAAATTAAAAATATTGTATTCCAGTCTATCTAAAAATAATAAATAAGTTAGTAGCAAATTAAATTAACCCCGGGAAGAGTAGAAGCTTATTTAACTTTTTAATAATCAAAGTCTAATAGACTCAATGGAGCTGATAGAATATATCAAGTGAATTATAATATTTTATTTTTATTTTTAAATAAAAATATGTTTATTATCCATCTTTTAAGAAAAATTTTCTGAATTTACCCCTCAAACATATAAGTAACCGAGTGAACTCTTTTCAGTTGTTAATGCTCTCATATTATGGTACCCATTGTGGGTCACCCAAAAGTAAGTAAAACTTAATTACTTCTATTTTTTGAAGTTTTTGCGAACTACATTTCAATCACTTCAGTCTTCAGCATTTCTTTCACCACTGCAGCACTGCTCTTGCTGAACAGTGACAACGAAGATTTATATCTTTTTGATATAGATATACAGGTATCTTAGTACTATTACCATTATTACTCACAGCAAAATTTTTGGGCGATGGTGTTAATTTTTTTTTTTTTTGGGCAATGGTCTTTTAAAAAAAATCCTTCTGTTTAATGTAGGAGTTGAATACTCACAGCAAAACTTTTGGGCAAAATTCACAAAACCCCTCATGCTTTGTTATTCCCACTAAAAACACCAAATAGTTTCCCTACATAACGCTCAAAGTGATTGATGAGCCTTGCCGTCATTTTAGAAGTTATGTGAAAAAAATCAAAGTATCGGGGGTTTCGAGGAAAATGCCCTATAGTATTTGGGTTTCTTAAAATGCATCTTAACTTTTTACCTTATTTATTTATTTTATTGATAAATGATAATCTATCTGGGAATCAAACACAATATCTTAACCTTTTATCTTATTTATTTATTTCATTAATAAATTATAATCTATATCGGAATCAAACACAAGACCCCTGACCCCGAGAATCATATTAGAATCTTCTAACCGTTCGGGATTACCGACATTAGATTATTTTTTATGCTATTTTGATATTAAACAATTTAAATGTGTTATCCAGAGAAAATGTTCCAATATATTAAGATAATATAAAAATTAAAATACAGTGTTATGGTATCTTATTTCAGTCAACTCAAACACATTATATCCTAACAGTCAATTCACCATCTCTTTCAGCTCTGCTATCTTTCTACAGTGCATCTCCTTAACTCTCTCTCTCTCTCTCTCTCTCTCTAGTCTCTCTTTCGTTCCACTGGACCTTAGAAGGTTCCCCAACACCAAATTTCCCTTCCTTTCTCAGTAATAACAACAAAGCCAACGAAAAGAGCCCCATCTCTTACTTCATTTCCATAACTATTCCCATTCTCTGCTCCCCTTCGCTCCTTTCAATGCCACCCCACTTTCAAAAGCACTTCTGATACGAGACTCTTTGAAGCCCATCTGCTCTATTTCTCTCCTCCCTTGAGTTCTCAATCTCAGAGCAGAAGAGCTCGAATGGAGAAAACTAAGGCGACCCAACAAGTCGCTTCCTTCCTTGTTGCGGTCCTCCTCTGTTTTGATACTGGACTTTGTGATTCAGAAATGAGTAGCGTTGTTGCTCCGATGGAGGGAGGGGAGAAAGAGGCCTTGTATTCTGCGATTGAAGGATTTGTGGGGGACTGGTGGAATGGCTCTGGGCTTTATCCTGATCCTTGTGGATGGACTCCGATACAGGTATCAGGTTTTTATTTTTAAAATTTTAAAAACTTGTTCTGATTGGTAGTGTAATTTAAATTTTTTTATTAAGTTTTATGTTTATTAATGATACTTAATGCTGTTGTAATGAAATTTGAGAGATATTGTTTGTTTAGTTCATGTGGGTATCTAGTGATTGTGCAGAGTTGCATGCTCCCATGCTCCCAAAATTTGAAACTTTTTATTTTTTGGAGTTATGTTTTTTTTTTTTGATAGGGTGATTTCTAGTTGGATTTGAAAAGGTATTAATTTGTCAGTACAGTTAATAGCTAGTTTTCAGATTGGTTATCCCACTTAATGTTATATAAAAATTTATTGGTACAGCCTAACTAGCTTCAGACTCATCAATAAAAATTTGTTGGTATTTTGAAATTTGACTTTTTTTGGGCAACTTTGAGCTTTGTATGTGCTCTAGTGTCTGACTTAATTCATGTGGGCATCTAGTGAAGATGCATGTTCTCAGATTTTATAGCTATGTGTTCACAAGGAAGAGTACAGCTTTTCGCTATAGTATGACTTTTTATATAGGTCTGCTTACAGAGATGGTGATCTATTAAGTCAAACTGCAGGTTAAAATTTTAATGTGAGATACAAATAAACTTAAAATGCTGATGTGAGTTATATCGACTCTTTTGATTCTATTGCTATGCTCTAGTACTAAAGACCAGTCCAGCTCGAGTTACATTCTTCTTTCTCCTGTGGTGCTACAAAAGTTTTGGATGGTTAAGCCAAATCCTACATAAAATTTTCTATTGTAAATATTTCAAGTTTTGGATGATACCTATGCTTTTATCTATAAAATTTCTCTCTATTATTCTCCTTTTTCTTTTTAACATACTGGATTTCTTGAACACAGGGAGTCTTGTGCGATTTCTTCGAAGGGTTATGGTACATAACTGGCATAAACATCGGTCCTGTGCTCGAAAACTCTCTCGAATGCAGTCAAGATGCAAATTTTACTCCATCCCTCTTCAATCTCAAGCACCTAAAGACCCTCTCTTTATTCGATTGCTTCACCTCTCAAAACACCACCATACCTTCTGTCAACTGGAACAAATTATCATCTAGCCTGGAAACCTTAGAATTGAGATCAAATCCAAGCCTCATTGGCAAAATCCCAGTTGGGTTTGGCCAATTATCAAAACTTCAGTCATTAGTACTCATCGAAAATTCATTATCGGGTGAAATGCCTAATGAACTTGGCTATTTAGGCAATCTCAAGAGGCTTTCACTTGAAGGTAACAAGTTTTCAGGCAACATCCCCTCGTCTCTTGGCCACAACTTGAGTGATCTCTTGATTTTAGACCTTAGTAGAAATTATTTAACTGGGTCTCTCCCTTCATCACTTGGAAGCTTGACTTCACTATTGAAGTTGGATTTAAGCAACAATTTGTTACATGGAAGCCTGCCAAATGAGCTTGGCAACTTGAAGAAACTTACATTGTTCGATATGAGAAGCAACAATTTATCGGGTGGGCTAAGCCAATCTCTTCAAGAAATGGTCTCACTGCAAGATTTGCTTCTTTCCGACAACCCCAATATTGGAGGGAATCTTGTTGAGTTTAAATTCAGTAGCTTGATTAATCTGACTAACTTGGATTTATCCAATATGGGTCTCCGTGGAATCATCCCAGAGTCGATTTCTAAGCTTAATAAGCTTAGATTTCTTGCCTTAGACAACAATTATCTCTCTGGAAGTGTTCCTTCAAAGCTGGAAGCTTTGCCTAGTCTCCGAGCTCTTCATGTCAACGCGAATAATTTAACTGGTGAGCTTGAATTCTCTGAAGAATTTTATACAAGGATGGGGAGGAGATTTGCTTCATGGAATAATCCGAGTCTTTGTTACAAAGTTGGGAAGGTTTCTAGAGAGAATGCTCCTTTTGGTTTGAATGAGTGCAGGAATGAAAAGGATTATAACGTTAATTCGAAAAATAAAATTGAGGAAGAAAACCCAGATGAGAATTCAAGATTTATAGCTTCAGTTGGGCCGTCTGATAATTCAGTGAGTGGGTTTTGGGGGGTGGTTCTTGTTCAAGATCTGGTGGTTGTGTTCCTCTTGGTTTTGTTGTTGTAGGCAGGGAGGAAAAAAGAACAGGGATGCAATTAAGTGAAGGGGGTTTTAGTCATATAAAAAATTTCAGTTTTATGTACAAAATTTATCTTTTGTGATCATTTTGTAACAGAGGGCTTGATCAGAAGATGACAAATGCCCAGTTTGGCACATTTTGGACGCAACTAATTAAACTTTCTATCCGAGCGCATTCTCGTAATTAAGCCACCTGGAGATTAAGTATATAGGGTCTCCTTGTCTAAGCCCACTTTTGGCAGGAAAATAACCGCGAAGCCCTCCATTGAAGAAAATAGATAAATTTGCAGTAGGGACCCCCCAATATATGTTGGGCAAAATATCAATTGTTGTTGAAAATTGTGTCGAGGAACCAAACCAATTGCCGATCAACAATGAGGACCAAAACCAGCCAAGATCAATGCATACACAAAACACCAATTTTAACGTGGTTCGGCAATTGCCTACGTCCACGGGGTAAGAAGGGGATGAGGTTTTCACTAATAGAGAAGAAGAGTACAACTTGAGATTACAAATCATCCACGGGGTAAGAAGGGGATGAGGTTTTCACTAATAGAGAAGAAGAGTACAACTTGAGATTACAAATCACTCGAAGAGGTTTTCACTAATAGAGAAGAAGAGTACAACTTGAGATTACAAATCACTCGAAGGAACAAACTAATCTTACCAACAAAGCTCTTAATCTCTCCAAATAAACCCTAATCAAATAGCTCAGAAAATACATCTTTGCTGTGCTCCAAATATCCTAAACTCTTGCCTTAAGAAACCCTAGAACGTGTATTGGTATTTATACAAACACCAAAACCAAATAAGAACAGGAAACCAAAACCAAATAAGAACAGGAAACCAAAACTGGGCTTTGACCCGATTGGCGGGGGGCCCCCCCCCCACAGAGACCATAAATCGCCTACAGGGTCTGGCGGTCAACCGTGGCGGTCGACCGCGCTAAGTCCAGGCACAAATCCTGGATCCGTGCACGATCGCGGTCGACCGGCCTTGCACCGCGGTCGACCGCGCAGCTCCCAAACAGAACCCTGAACTCTTCCAACACCTGTTCTTCACCAAACTTCTCGCTGTTTCTTCAATATAACCCGTTACATAAACTGAGGAGGAAATCTAGGACAAAACCAAAACTTGTTTTAAAAAGGACCAGAGTCAAAAGCTTTCCTAATGTCGTCTTTAAGCACAATTCTAGGGGTAGTAGTCTTTCTTTTATAATGTTTAAAAAGGCCATGAGCTAGAAGAACATTGCTAATTAAGGATCTTCCTTTTACAAAAAGCAGTCCGGGCACATCCTGAACAATACGAGGCATAATTTCCTGTAATCTAGCAGCTAGGATCTTTGATATGACCTTATAGGAGAAATCAACACGTGGTATTGGTCTAAAGTTACTCACCAAGAGTAATTGGTGAGTGACAACAATTATCTATTTTCTGATTTTTTTTTTTGAAAAGAACTCCAAATTAAATAGCAGAACAGAAATCATCCTCAATAATAGGCCAAGAACTCTTGGAAAAAAAACTTGAAGAATAACCATATCAGGGCCAGGCGCTTTCAGATCAGAAAATAGAAAAAAAACTGCCTCAGTGATTTTCTCCTTCGTAATTGACTGCAAAAGATCATTATTCTGCATGTCAATATATAGATGAAGTATTCCCAAATTCCCAGACGTCATTATTGATTGGTGAAGCAGAGGAGGCAGAACCCAAGAAGAGATTGATAATATCCAAACTATTTCATCAGCAAACATCAGAAGGCTCTGTAAGCTTTTTAACACCAGCAGCACTGTAGATGGCAAAGATAGAATTACGCTGATATCTAGCTTTCAAGATGTAAAAGTAAGAGAGAGAGAGAGAATCTTGGGTAAATTTCCCTTGAATTGAATATTGAGTGTGCACATATATTTATACAAGTAGAGGAGTGTGAGGTTTGTTCTCCCAAGCAATGTGGGACTAAAACCCACTACAATACACTATTATCAACAGCCCCCTTCAAACTCATGTTGGATCAAACAAAGTGAGTTTGCGTACAAGAAACTGGAACCGATGAACAGGTAAGGCCTTTGTGAAGAAATCTGCAAGCTCGTCAGCGGATGAAACATGAGGAAGTAGAATTGTCTTGTCCTTGATAACTTGGTGACGGACAAAATGAGCGTCGATCTCAATATGTTTGGTCCTTTCATGAAATACTGGATTATTAGCAATCTGGATGGCACTCTTATTATCACAGTAGAGAGGAGTAGGAGTCGTAACAGAAATACCGAAATCACTGAGAAGGCGACGAAGATGAATAATCTCTTTAGCTGTTGTGGACATTGCACGATACTCTGCCTCAGTACTGGAAAGAGCAATAACATCTTGTTTCTTACTTCGCCAGGAAATAAGGGAATCACCAAGAAATATACAATAACCTGTGGTAGACTTTCTGGTAGTTGGATCACCAGCCCAATCAGCATCAGAATATGCACAAAGCTCTAACTTAGATGTAGCAGGAAACAAAAGTGAGCGAGTGCTAGTACCCCGGAGGTACCGAAGAATCCGTAATAAGACAGCATAGTGTACAGAACGTGGGGCACTAACAAATTGACTGACAATACCAACAGCATGAGAGATATCTGGTCGAGAGATGCACAAATAGACCAACTGACCAACAAGATGTCGATATCGGGTAGGATCAGATAGAGGCTCACCGTCAGTAGAGCAAAGTTTGACATTCTGCTGGAGTGGAGTATCGACAGTTGTATTATCAGTTAACTCAGCTTGATTTAGAATATCTGAGAGATACTTCTGTTGAGACAGTAATACACCCCGCGGGCCTTGAGAAATTTCTAGACCAAGGAAATACCGAAGAGATCCAAGATCCTTCATGTGGAACTGTTGTTGCAACTGAGATTTTGCGTATTGTATACCTGTCATATCATCACCTGTAATGATCATATCATCTACATAGATGAGTAATAAAACCCTGCCACGCGATGTAGTGCGAACAAACAGAGAAGCATCTTGATGACTTTCTATAAAGCCCGCTTTGAGCACAACATCGCGAAAACACTCAAACCAAGCGCGGGGTGCCTGTTTGAGACCATAAACAGCACGACGAAGGAGACATACATGTCCCGGAGGAATATTTGACCCTGGAGGCGGTTGCATATATACGGTCTCTGATAAAGAGCCATGAAGAAAAGCATTTTTGACATCCATCTGGTATAAGGGCCAACGATGAGCAGCAGCGACCGCAAGGAGAGTACGCACAGTGGGCATCTGAGCAACAGGAGCAAAGGTCTCCTCATAATCAATACCTTGTTGCTGAGTAAAACCTCTAGCCACTAAACGAGCTTTTCGACGTTCAATGGTGCCATCAGGACGAAACTTGACCTTATAAACCCATTTACTGCCAACAAGAGAGATCCCAGGAGGACAGGGAACAATATCCCAGGTATGAGTTTGCTGAAATGCTTGAAATTCCTCAGCCATAGCTTGTCGCCACTCTGGAATTTGAACTGCCTCTTGGAAGGACTTTGGCTCAACAATAGTATGAATGGCAGCAAGAAAGTTATGAAAGATAGGTGAATAAGAAGTAACAGAAGCATACCGGGCAGGCATGACATGTGGGCGTTTGCCTCGACGAAGAGCAAGAGGAACCTCAGGCGGGGGAGATGCTGGCGCAGGTGCATGAAGATCAACAGTATTTTCTGGAGTGAGAGTTGTGTCCACAGGATATGGATTAGATGGTGTAAGAGAAGACTCAGGTGAGGAAGAGTCAACAGAAGGAGAGGGAGAGATGTCAGGGAGATCTCGAAAGGAAAATTGAGGTGAAGAAGTGGGTGATGCAGTGGACGGGGAAGCATGATCGGTAGAGTGGAGGAAATTAAAGTCATCAGAAGTAGAATAATATGGAGAATCCTCTTCGAACTGAACATGACGAGATATATGAACTCGACGAGTTGCGGGATCATAACAACGATAACCTCGATGTTCTGAACTAATTCCTAAATAAACACAAGAAACTGCTCTGGGAGACAATTTATCACGTTCGTGAGATGGCAGAAAAACAAAACATCGACAACCAAAAACGCGAACTAGATCATAACGGGGAGGATGAGTATAAACACGACTATAAGGAGTAGCACCGGAAAGAGAGCTAGATGGAGTGATATTAATGGCATGAGTCGCGGTGAGAATAGCCTCAGCCCAGAAACGACGAGGAACAGAGTAAGAAATGAGCATTGATCGGGCAGTATCGAGGATATGACGATGTTTGCGTTCAGCAACACCATTTTGCTCATGAGTGTAGGGACATGACTGTTGAAAGATAGTCCCATGAGAGGACATGATAGAGCGCATGGCAGAGGATAGGTACTCTTTGGCACAATCAGAACGAAAAACTTTAATACGAGATTGCCATTGAGTGAAAATCATAGCAGTGAAGGCTTGATAAGCAGTAAGTACGTCAGAGCGATTCTTAAGTAGGTAAACCCATGTAAAACGAGAGAAATCGTCGATAAAACTAACATAATATAAGTAGCCAGATGAAGAAGGCAAAGGAGCTGGCCCCCAAATATCAGAATGTACTAAATCAAATAAGGAAGTGGATACAGATGTACTCATTTTAAATGGTAAAGCAGTGAATTTAGCCAATTTGCAACCAGCACATGACTCAATACTAGAACTAGATGATACAGGACCAAGTACTCCAGACTGAATAAGACTCTCCAGCCTTTTATTACACACATGACCAAGTCGTCTATGCCATAAATTGGCAGGAAGCGAGGTAGAGGGTTTTGACGAACAAAGAGAAGCAACAAGAGAACGTGGACGTATGGACTCTGGAAGGTGAAGATATTCCAGAAAATACAGTTTGTGCCTCCTACGACCCGCCCCAACCGTCTTGCCCGTCTGTGGATCCTGCACAATACAAGTATCAGAAGAAAATGAGACAAACAGGCCCGCCATGCATAAAGAGCTAATAGAAATTAAATTCAAGCACAATTGTGGAGCCACATAGACGGGACCAAGTGTTAGACGACCAGATGGATCATTTTGTGGGGTAATAGAGCCATACTGAGTAATGGACAATGGTTGTCCAGCAGCTGTGTAGATAGGAGGAAGAGAGGATGAAGTAAAGACAGAGGATAAA